ATCTCTTTCAACGAAAATTAGAAGGAGAGGCTAAGAGTTCTCTAACACAAAACATTGGTCCTTCGAGCCGGATCCAGACTGATATATCCGGATACAGACGGATGGAAGGCCGGACCACCGGATACAGTAAGCCATCCGTGATTCGACGACATCTACTGCACTTCTAAAATCGCTGTAATCTAACGCAAGGAGATTAGCGAAGCTTCACCGCCATTAAGAAAGGCAGGCCACTGTCTTCTACTTTCATACAAGCATCTATTTCGAACCCCGCTGCACCAGCGACTCGATCCCAGGGAATCAGCTAACCAGCCAGGAATCCCGCGCCAGCGGACAAATCATCCCGGACCGACCCCTGCAGGAACGGCAAGGCAGCGCAAGGATTCATTTCAGAGGAACGCCGGCAGCCATTACAGTGCGACATCGGTGCCCCTCCCCCACCGTACAACGAGGCAATTCTTGTTTCGCAATTCTTGTTTCGACGCGTACATTATATTTAGCGCCCGTAATACTCAGGTAAGGAAGGCTGTTTTTAACGGTCGCCAACCGGAATTTCCTTGTCATTTTGTACTCAACATATATAGAATCTTGATTCCGACATGGATAACGACCCGGTCAACATAAAAAAACGACGGTCGACCGTAAAGGCGTCGTGCACGCGCATAAGAAGCTATGTCGATAGCATTTCTTCATTGTCTCCGTCGATAATATTGCAACTTGAAGAGCGTAAAGTTAAATTAGACCAGTATTGGGCCGATTACAATGTTTATCAAACTCAATTAGAAATGCTCGATGAATCAGAAGCTAACGATAGAGTCGCCTTTGAGGAAGCATTCTTTAATTTGTCAAGTAAAATGCGTGAATTAATGCAAACTCAGTCTACTTCGCGTAATGCGGTAACGGCGTCACCAACGCTTTCAAATGCCTCTGATATGCGAGAAACATATAATGTCAGATTACCGAAACTCGATCTTCCTAAATTTTCGGGGAAATTTGATGAATGGTTTCCGTTCCGCGACTCATTTCTTTCGATCATACACGCGAATACAACTCTCAGTGATATTCAGAAACTACAATACCTGAGAGCCACTCTTACCGACGAAGCAAGTAATGTACTAAGCCCTCTCGAGATATCCGAGGCGAACTATGCGGTCGCGTGGGACCTATTAAAGGAAAGATTCGATAATAAACGCGACATTGTACAAACGCATCTCAAATCCATTATCGAGTTACCGGTTATGACGAAGGAAAACGTGGTAGAATTGCGACAGATCGCGGATGGTTCTGCGCGTCACATGCTAGCATTAAAAGCGCTGAAGCGTCCCACAGAACATTGGGACGATCTTTTAGTTTACCTTCTTAGCTCTAAGCTCGACCCGACCACAGAGCGAGAATGGCGACTGTCACTCAAGGACTCCGAGTTACCTACATTGAAACAATTTCACGCTTTCTTAGCCCATCGTTGTCAGGCTATCGAATCAACTGGTAGGTCATCCAATACTTCTACGAAAAATGTAAATTCGCGTTCGCAAGCGAGTAACAAACAAAGGACATCATGTAATGCATCCGTTAGCACAAAATGTGATTTTTGTAAAGGTGAACATGCTATTTACCAATGTAAACAATTTTTAGCTCTCCCGATTCTCAAACGGATTGCGGAAATTCGGTCACGCAAGATCTGCTTGAACTGTCTTCGTTCAACGGCTCACAATGCAAGCAAATGTACTTCAGGGACTTGCAGAA